ATTAGGGCACAAGGACCTACTGCATGCATTCTGTACATAAAATCTCTAGGTGCCTTTTATGCATAATCTCTAATCCCTTCACCCATGATGTAGTGTTTAGCCAAGGCTTAGCAGGTTCAATGGCTAATGTAGTAGATAGAGGTGGTCTGTGCCCAATCATCCCTTTGAGACTCACTTTGACTTCTGCCTTATGGCTGTCAGCATCAACACCTGCTTCCTATGCCTGGGAACCCAGCACTGTAAAGTGTGTTGGAAGGCAGTGCCTCATCTCCCACCTCAAAAGTCAGAATGTTGTTGGTTACTTGCTTTCCCTGACTCCCAGCCAGGGAGTGGGCACTGCCCTAGACTCACTCAATTGGATGCTCCCATCTGGAACTTTGAATCTGGGGGAAATGATACAAAGAAGCAGTGGACAGTTGAGTTTTGGCAGCCACCATCCTGTGGCTGGTCATGGCAGTGTTCAGTGGCCACAGTGCCAGCTATCAGATTGCTCCCATGGCAGGAGCTAGGCTGTGGCTCAGGCCACCCAGTCTCCTTTGGCATCTGCCCATTTCCCTTCCTGTTAATTTTTTTTTAAATGTTTATTTATTTATTTTGAGAGAGAGCATGCATGTGTGTGTGAGCAGGGGAAGAGCAGAGAGAGAGAGACAGAGAGAGAGAGAGAATCCCAAGCACAGCACAGAGCCTGACTTGGGGCTTGAACCCATGAACCATGAGATCATGACCTGAGCCGAAATCAAGAATTGGATATTCAATCAACTGAACTGCCCAGGCACCCCAGCCTTCTTATCAATTTTGTGAGCTTCTTGATACTCCTCTTCAAGTCTCTCTTCAACGTAAGTCGCTCAGACTTGCTTTCTGTGGTTTGTAATCAAGAATGCCATGTAGCAGCTGTGTGTCCTCAGTGACAGTCTTCTGGTATCTCTGAACCTTTTCATTTTTTGCCTAATACTCCCATCCAAATGTTGGGACTCATTTGACTCTGCTTTTGTGCCAGTCTTAGCCTATCAATATTGGCTAGAAATGCTAAGGTGCACTCATCTGGCACCAGTGAGCTTCCCACAGACATCTCCTCTTTCCAAACCAATGCTGTGACTGGACCAACCCTTGTGGTTCTTATAAGACACCTTTCAGCAACCACCATCAGGAAACTTTGAAAAAATGAAGATTTATTACTTACAAGACCTGGAAATAATACAATGCACCTGGAACTGGGGTTCTGCTTTTATTGGGGTCAAGGATGGGGACTGAAGTTTTCATAGGCACACTCCTTGTTGGTGAATTTATTTTGTTTAAATGTTTATTTATTAGCTAAAACATGGAAAGAGCCTAAGTGTCCATCAGCAGATGAATGGATCAAGAAGATGTGGTTAATCTATACCGTGGAATACTACATGGCAATGAGAAACAATGAAATCTGGCCATGTGTAGCAACATGGATGGACCTTGAGGGTGTTATGCTGAGTGAAATAAGTCAGGCAGAGGACAAATATCATATGTTTGCACGTATAGGAGGATTAGGAGGAACTTGACGGAGGAACAAGGGGGAGAAGAAGGGCGGAAATGGTGGGGGAAAGGGAGAGAGGCAAACCATGAGGGACTCTTGAATGCTGACAAAAACTGAGGACTGATGGATGTGGGGGGGAGGGGGGATGGGCATGGAGGAGGACACTTGTGGGGATGAGCACTGGGTGTTATGTGGAAACTAATTTGACAATAAACTATTTGTAAAAAAAATAATAATAATAAAATAAAAAATAAAAAATTTAAAAAAATAAATGTTTATTTATTTATTTTTGAGACAGAGAGAGAGAGAGAGAGAGTGCACAAGCAGGGAAGGGGCAGAAAGAGAGAGAGAGAGGGAGACACAGAATCTGAAGCAGATTCCAGGCTCCGAGCTGTCAGCGTAGGGTTCCATGCCACAAACTGTGAGATCATCACCTGAGCTGAAGTTGGATACTCAACCAACTGAGCTGCCCCAGTACCCCATGGTGAATTTAAAACATAAGAGCAGGAATTTTAAAGCTCAAGGAGATAATAGACAAGTGGTCCTAATGGTCAGTTATCAAGCAAGACCTCTAAAACAAAGGAGGTGGTCTGGCTCTTTACCTAGTGTGGTTGACAATGTGTTTATTCGAGATAGTCCTCTCTGAAGTGGATGTCTCAGCAATCAAAGCATAAGTCAGGCACTTGGGTTACAAAAAAGAAAAATAAAACTGTTAAGGCTTATACCATAGCCTCCAGGCAATTTTTATATCTCATGGGAAGAGGCTGGCAAAAAGCTATTATTTCTGCTGTATCTGCTGCCCCATTTTTACCTGTGTTCCTTCTTGACTATCTTTAGGATCCTGCTCTTCCACCAAGGGGATTCATGATGAGCTCTTCCCTGGGGCTCTTGCTGTCCCTAGGTCCTGCCTTCTGCCCTTTTCTGTCTACACTCCATTGGGTCAGGATTCTTCTCTTCCTCTGAGAGTCTAAAGGAAGGCATGACTTTGTCAAGAGACTAAGAGAGTTAACAAATACAAATGGTTCCGGAGAGTTTGGAAAGTGACTTCTCCTTTGACAGAGCCAAGTACTAGGGACTAACTAGTTTACTCTGCTTCTGGCTCCTCATGTGTTTTGTGGCTGTTGCTGGTGAACCATCTCACCCTGGGAAGCCCCAAGGTAGCTGATTGAAGCCAGCTGTGGTGTGGCTCAGCAGTATCCTTAGTCCAACCCTGCAGTCTGGAGGAGTTGCCATTCACAGAGTACATCTGTTGTTTTTATCTGCCCTAAATACTCTTCTTAAGAGATGGTCCTTTGCAGGTTCCTGGGTGGCTCAGTCGGTTAAATGATGGACTTCAGCTCAGGTCATGATCTCATGGTTTATGGGCTCAAGCCCTGCATCTGACTCTCTGCTCTCAGTGCAGAGCCCACTTCAAATCTTCTGTCTCTCTCACCCCCTCTTTCTGTCCTTCCCCTACTTGAATTCTCATTCTCTCTCTCAAAATAATAAAAATTTGAGAAAAAAACTTTCTTTAAAAAAAAAAGAGATAGTCCTCTCTCCCCTTCTGATGTCCTTTCTCCCCACTGGTGGCTGGGGCTTCTGGTCACAAGACCTACTTTCTATGCTGAGGGATGGGCCCCTGATCGAGCAGGTGGACAGGTAGTGTGAAGATATTTGTGTGTAAGCGATGAATCATGGGAATCTACTTCCGAAGCCAGAGCAAACTGTATATACTGTATGTTAGCTAACCTGACAATAAATTATGTTTTAAAAATGTACTGGGAGAGAACAGCTCTTTCTTTTCCCTTGAATTATAACCTTGGATTTGCTTCTGACTGCGTTGCTTGTGAGAAGAAAGAAGGAAGCAAGGGCCCCTGGATGGCTCAGTTGGTTTAAGCATCCAGCTCTTGGATTTGGCTCAGGTTGTGGGTGATCCCATGGTTTCGTGAGTTTGAGCCCTGCATCAGGGTCTGCACTGGTAGCACAGAGCCTGCTTGGGATTCTCTCTCTCTCTCTCTCTCTCTCTCTCTCTCTTTCTCTCTCTCTTCCTCCTCCTCCTCCCCTGCTCACACTGTCTCTGTCTCTCTCAAAATAAACAAATAAGCTTTAAAAACAGAAGAAGAAAGAAGGAAGCTGTATTAGATTCCTAAGGCTGCCATAACAAATTACTACACGATTGGATGGCTTAAAATAGCAGAAATGTATTTTCTCGCAGTACTCTCAGAAGTTCAAAATCAGAGTGACAACAGAGCTGGTTCCTTCTGGGGCTTCTGAGGAAGAGTCTATGCCTGTCTCATGGCTTTTGGAGGTGTCTGAGGATCTTTGGCATTCCTTACTTGTAGATGCATTACTCCAACCTGCCTCCATCCTCACGTGGCTGTCTTCCTCTGTGAAGGTCTCTGTTCAAATTTCCCTCTTCTTCTGAGGACACCAGTTATTGGATTAGGATCCACCCTAATTCAGTATGACCTCATCTTTTTTTTTTTTTTTAATGTTTGTGTGTTTTTGAGAGACAGAGAGAGATAGAGTGTGAGCCAGGGAGGGGCAGAGAGATAAGGAGATACAGAATCTGAAGCAGGCTCCAGGTTCTGAGCTGTCAGCGCAGAGCCCAACATGGGGCTTGAACTCACAAATCATGAGATCATGACCTGAACTGAAGTCAGATGCTCAACTGACTGAGCCACCCAGACACCCCCTGTATAGCCTCATCTTGACTTGATTGCATCTGCTAAGACCCTATTCCCAAATAAGGTTTTGGGGGGTGGATATGAATTTTGGGAGACATTATTTAACGTGATACAGAAGCTAAGTTAGGAAAACAGGGTCAAGAGGTAGAAGGAGAGAGAACCTTAATGAAAAATTATCAATTCCTAAGCTCAACTGGTCTGGATCAAGTGAGCTTCACACAATGAGTTTAGATATGTGAGCTAAAATATTCCTTTTCCCTTAAACTAGTTAGTGTTTGGTTTCTAGCACTTGGAACTGAAAAAGTCCTGACTAATATAGGGGCGAATGAAAAACCAGAATAGAGAAAGCTGAGATTTTAACAATGGACCAGAACACAGTAAGAAAATGTGCTTCCTCTCTCTATTCCCTTCCTTTCATGCAATATGCCAAGACACAACAGTCCCTATAGGACTTCATCATGCTGGTCTGCGAGTCCTTCATGGTCACCCTGGTAGGAATGTTCTCCAGGGAAAGAGTTTACCACTTTATTTACTTCTTCCCTTTGCCTGATTGGGCCCAAATACCCAAGAATTTGGGACAAAAGATAAGCTAGTCTTTGGAGGTATGGAGACATAGGTAGGGGTTTTGATTCAATTGAATAATGCTGCTCATTCTTGTGTGTTTTTAAAGTTTATTTATTTATTTTGGGAGAGAGAGTGTGCATGGGGAAGGGTGGGGGGGGGGAGAGAGAGAGAGAGAGAGAGAGAACCCCAAGCAAGCTCTGCACTGTCAGCACAGAGCCTGATTCCAGGCTCAAACTCATGAACTGTGAGGTCATAGTCTGAGCTAAAGTCAGACATTTAACTGACTGAGTCACCCAGGTGCCCCTGATGCTCATCCTTTGTATCTGACACTCAGCATAGTGCCTGGCACATGGTAGATGCAAAATAAATATTTATTGAGAGGGCAAGGGAAATAACATATATTTAAGTGTCTTTGGGAAATAGACTGAGGCATAAATGATATGATCCCAGCCATTGGGGGCTTTCAATGTAGTTGGACAGATAATATGCCCTCACAAAGTCATTACATAATAGCATAAGAAGATCCATAGTCTAATATTTGGGACTCTAGGGAGGAAGAGTGGAGGTTCAAAAGAGAGAGAAAGGTCCCTGGGGTTTGGGCATGGCAGTTAAGGGAGGATTCAGGGAGAGGGAATAAGTTAGTTGGGTCTGGAAGGACACAGCATGTGTTAGGGAAGATCAGAGTGAGTATGGAGATTGAGCTTGGTGTCCTCCTAGAGGGATGTATAGGCTGGACAAGCAGAGGTGGGAAGGGAGTTTGGCTGGTGGTGGGGAGGTAAAGGTGGAGTAGAAAAGTCTATGGGCTGCTCTTACAGGCTCAGATAGAACAGAGAAGAACCCTTATCTCTCCCATCCATCTAGATTCCACGTTGGGCCAAGATGTGAGCACCCTTCTTGCCTGGAGGAGGCACACAATGATGGGATCTGTGTGCACTTTGGGTTTGTGTGTGACTAATCTGTGGTTTAATATTGCTGCAGCTCAGGGTTTGTCTGTTCCTTTAGAAGCTTCTAGTTGTATATGATAGAAATTAGGGCCTTTATGTTGGAGGCCAATATGTTGGAGCCTTTCTCCTTTGCTTGTTACTATTATGGAGCAGGAGACAGTTTCCTCCCAGCTAAGGGCAGATTCTAGTGCTCACCATCCTTGATTTACCTTACTCTCCATCTACTCTGATTCTGTTGCTTCCCTTCTCAAGGCCTGGAAGGGGAGAGAAGCGGGGAAAGGGACTTTTCTTTGCGGACTGGCCAGCTGGGTTCTTTAGTGGTTTTGGATTCTTGCCTGTGGGCTGAGGAACCAATGGTGACCTCTCTTGTGGGTCTCTTCCTCCAACTCCCACCTCCCAGGGCCTTTTCTGCCAGATTTCCTCAGGGATTTCTTTCAGGGTTAGAAATGATTCTGGGTATGAGTGAAGGTCTTCTGCCTCTCGGTGGCCTCTTCGTCCACCTTGGCCTGGATATTCCTGGCTGCCCGCAGGCCGGACTTGATGGCAGTGTCTATCCAGGCATGGGGCATGGAGGTGTGCTCGCCTGCAAAGTGGATGCGGCCCTCGGGCTGGAAGAGCCGTAGCGAATAGTCAGTAAATTGGTAGGGTGTGAACTCAGCGAAGGCGCCCATGGTGAAGGGCTCCAGAGACCAGCGCTTGAGCACAGAGGAGGGGCACATGCGCCGCAGCTCGTCCTTGGGTATTTGGTGCACGGCCGCCAGGTCCTCCAGGACCACATCCTCCACCTGCTCGTGCGTCATGGATATGAAGAAGAGGGAGTCATCGTCCACGGTGTAGGAGGCCAGCAGGACCCCCTTGCCACTGGGGAAGCTGTGGCTAGGGTAGTAGATGAAGCGGGAGGGCCGGTCGGTGACCGAGACCCCACCCCGGATGCCCTCCCGCTCCCAGAAGGGTTCCTTACAGGCTAGAACCACCTTGGTGGCGCTGGTGTAATGCACCACGCGGAGCGCTTCCACCTTGTCTGGGGAGAGCGGTGGCTTAAAGGTGATGAGGCGCGTGGCCTTGGCCGAGGCGGAAATGATGAGGAAGTCCGCGGTGAGGTTGTGCTGCACCGAGCTGGGCTCGCCTGCCCTGTAGGAAACCTGAATCTCGGGCCCGTCCCTCACTACGGTCTCCACCTTGGAGCCCAGCTGGATAGTGCCAGGCTTCAGGCTGGCGCTGAGGGCTTTAGGGAGCTGGTCAAAGCCACCAGTGATCTCAGAAAAGCTGCAGGGATAAAAGGAGGGCAGGGGGTGAGTGTGTGGGCACAAGGCCCCCTTGCTGAGTTTCAGGCAGCCTTCCAGTTCTGAAAAGCCAGGAAACTGGCTTCCTGCAGCCTGTGCTGGATGTTTCCTACCCATCTCCTTAACTAGTCTCTGTGAGGGAGGGCTGACTGTTTAATTTTATACTTGGGAAAAGCGAATCCTGATGAAGAGGGACTGTCCCAGGATGACATACCCCATCTAGAACCACAGCCTGTGGATTCAGCTACCACGCAGTTCTGTGTCCCCAAAGGAGTCCCACAGACGTGCGTTTGGATTCTGGCTCCAGCCCTCACCCCAGTTATGGGTGAACTTGGGTAAGTCATCCAACCCCCCTGAGCCTCAGCATCCTCCCCAGTAAAATGGTTCTGAATAATAGTATCGACCTCCAGGTGATTAAAAGTAACAATTTTTGGAAAATGCTGATCATCATACCTGCCACGTAGTGACCTACTCAATAATCATAGTTCTGTTTCCCTACTCTGGGGGTCAGAGGAGGGATAGATTCCAGTCCTGATCCCAATTGGCCTTACTCGTCCTTTTTGGAGAAGATGAAGTCTGTGCGCAGGGACTCTAGGAGGGACTTATAGTATCCAGAATCCTCATTCATCACAGTCCCGATCATCTTTACTGCTCCTTGGCTCAGTGCCCCTTCCTTCAGCAAGTAAGCCTGTGGGGAGGTGGGAGTGCCAGATGGAGGGCCCACTATGTAGGAAGGGGACTCAGCAGGGGCCTGGGGCAGGCAGGGGTGGAACTGGGCTCCAGGGAGGTGACGTCTTTGGCAGTGGGAAGAGAGAGTCCTGATCAGCAAGGAACAACCCCAGGGGGCTAGGTTGAGCACAGACCTCCTCTACCCCTATCTTGGGACTCTTTGACTCACATACCTTGGTGGAGTAGGAATCGTAAAAGGATGCCAGGTGGCTGCAGTTGAAATTTTTCAGATTTTGTTTGAGCTGCAGAAGGGGAGGGAAGGGAAGCAGTTTAGATGTAAGCCATTGAGCAGTGGCAGGACTCCTGGGTTCTAGGGGTGTCCCTTTGAAGAAGGTGGGGGCAAGGAGGTGGGGGATGGAAAGACCAGGGGAAGGGTGTTTCCAAGAGCTCCTAAACGCTTTTCTTTCCTCCCAACTCTCCCCTTCATTTAAAGACCTTTGGAGACTAATATTTAAGGGGAAGACATTCACTGCAATCCAGGAGAATTGATTCATTACTGAGGATTGGGTTATCTGGTGATTCCCTTTCTTTCCACTGTCATCATCAAGCAATGGGTCATTGGATCACCAGGGACAGGAGAGCAGATGGGGCTGGGCATTAGGGTTGGATGGTAACATTCTTAGAAGACATTAGAGGAGGGACCAATCACAAGAATGCCAGATAGGAACCAGGTCAGCTGGGTCTATCCACAACTTTGCCAGGTGACCTTGGACCAGAACTTGTTATTTCCCAATCCTGGGAGGAGTGAGGCAGGAGGCACCTTGGTGATGGACTCATGGAAGAGATTCATAGCACTCTTGCCCGTCTCCAGTGGTTTCGTGGAATAGCCTAGGAGCTCTGGGTTGTTCTTGACATCCTTAGTGCGATAACGTTGCCCGTTGATGAGGTACCAGGTATTACCATCATATTCTATGAACTTGTTCATCTTCAGTCCAAGCTTCTTGACGTAGGCATGAACTAGCCTGGAGCAGATACAGGTATAACATGGCACCCATCCCAGCCCCTCATTCCTGCTGGCCTCACTAGAGAAGCCATTTCCAAGAAAACCAGTTTCTTCACATGCCCAGGGACGTCAGACTGTTTCTTCAACTCTAACTCTGCTTCCTCTTACTGTGGTATTAATTATTTTTCTTCTGTTTTTTTTTTTTTCCACAAAGAAGATGCGAGGAGGGAGTTCACCCATCACCCAATAAAGGCTCTTTTAGAAATCCCAGAGCACAAGAGGCCTTTTGTTTCAGATAGTATTTGAAATCCCATCTTCCATTTCTTTTTTTTTTTTTTTTACAAATAGTTTATTGTCAAGTTGGTTTCCATATAACACCCAGTGCTCATCCCCACAAGTGCCCTCCTCCATGCCCATCACCCCTCTTCTCCTCCCTCCATCCCCATCAGCCCTAAGTTTGTTCTCAGCATTCAAGAGTCTCTCATGGTTTGCCTCTCTCCCTTCCCCCCACCATTTCTCCTCTTCTTACATTTCTAAGTAAGTTGAGGCCAAATCTAAAGACTTCTAGTTTGGGCTGGTTCATTTTGTTTTTGTTTTTGTTTTTGGTGGTATTTGGAGAAAAGTCTTGGGTTCAGTTTACACACAAGGCAAAAAAGAAGTCATATTTTTGGAGGTATGTCAGACACCAGGTGAGGGATCTCTTTTGTCTTAGAAGCCACAGAACCAGGGGTTGGGTTCTGTTCCAGGGACCAGTTACAGATTAGGGGTTAGGCATATGTTTTGGTGGCTGTTGCCTCATTGATTTTGAGAAGGAGTTCTGCCACTTTCTCCTAGGAGAACCTTGGGTGTGTCACTTAATACCTCTGAGCTCAGTTTCTTGATTTGTAACTGGGAAAAATAAGGATCAGATGAAATAATGCACGTGTGGCATTCAGCATGGTGCCTGGTACATAGAGGTGCTCAAGAAATGGCAGCTCATATGATTATTAAATATTATTCGTTTGTAGCTTAATGAGGTATAATTGACACATAAGAAGCTACCCATATTCAAACCACATAATTTGACAAAATAATGCTAACTATTACTATTAGTTTGGGTCCTATCACTTTCTGTGTGACCCTGGGCTCTAAGCCTTGGTCTTCCCTGTCAAGTAGGAGACTAGTGTGAGTCTTGGCTCCACATGAGACAATTGATGTGAGAGGCTCTGACACTATGGCAGCCAGCCCCCCACCCAACCTCTACTTAATTTCTCTTGCTCACCCTTCACCCTTCCCTTCCTTGGGACTTACCTGTGTGACTTAGGGATTCGCATGGGCCCCAGTTCATAGTACCAGCCCTCCTCCTCATTCCTGTATGTGACAACTCGACCTCCGATGTGGTGGCTGGCTTCCAAGATGGTTACCTGGGGTCCCGAGAAGCTGCTGTTGGTGTCAGAGTCACGCTTTCCCTTCTCCCACTCTGTACACCCATCCCCATCCGGCTCTAGTCTGGAATCCCTAGTGATAGGTCCCTGCATGTGCAGGATAACCATGTGGTGGGGTGGGGGGAGCTCCTCCAGGAGGGTCCTGAGTAACGTAAATGGGGCAGAGATGCTCTGTGGTGGCATAGGACTGAGTACCTCCTGGCCTGTTCTCGTTACAATAGCCCTTCACCCACTTTTGCTTCTGTGAGAATACAGGTGTAGCTAGGGTCAATTCTCAAGGGAGCCTGGGGTTTTGAGGAACCATAATTAAGGGCCAAGAGATCAGTGGATTATAAGCAGCCATCTAAGAGCTGACCACAGTTTCTCCCTTTTTCTTTTTCTACCCAAGGAAGCAAATGATTTCCCTCCTCAGACCCCAAGCAAAGGATTGAAGCCCCTCCAAGACATGCTCACCTGGTGGCCAGCATCTTGTAGTGCCTTGGCAGCCACCAGGCCTGACATGCCAGCTCCCACTATTACCACGCGCTTGGGCAGAGGGGAGGCGTGGAGCCCCTTCTGTGCCGTGACAAGGATGGACTCGTACTCGGGGTCCTGGAAGCACTGGACCAGGTCCTCAAAGTAGCCAAGGCAGCTGGGAGTAGCCAACAGGAGCCCCAGGATCAGGATTCCTATGGTAGAGAGGGGAATTGGGAGCTGCCATTTTGGGGCCCAGGCTCTGCACCCTGCTCTACCCAGGATGAGCTTGGCTGTGTGAACGAGTGGGGGTGGTGAGGTCAGGCAGGACCTGTCAGATGTGTGGTGTAAACATGCATATTTGTGATTGTGTCTGTGTGGGGGCAATTGTGTTGTATGGGGTGTGTATGTATGTGCAAACTGTGCTGGTGTCAGCTGTGTGATTGTAAATGTAAATGCATGTGTTCACGTGTGTGCATGTTATTGGAAACCCCTGAGTGTGTGCAGAGCCACCCCTGAATGTGAATATGCCTGCTTCTGATGGTGAGTGCGTGCGTGGGCTTGTCTGTGATGGAAGTTGCAGTGATTGTGAGTTTGTGATTATTGCCCGGTATGACTGTGCATCACCTGTGATTTCATAGGTGTGTGTGTGTGTGTGTGTGTGTGTGTGTGGGATGGTGTGGGCACCTGGGCACATGTGTGGATGAATCTGTATGCAAGAGCGAGGTGAGTGTGTGTGGCCTGGGTCTGAAGAGTAAGAATGACATACATGCATTTGCTTGAGTTTGTCAGGGAATATGGTTGCTGGCATTCTTGTGTGTGATGCTGTGAGTGTGTCTGAGTGTGAGGCTGGGTGGCAGAGCTGGAAGGTGTCTGTGTTCTTTGAGAATGTGTACGTTTGTAAGAGGATGAGTGTGTGTGAAAGCAGGAGTGTGTGAGTGAGGCATGGTTCTCTTCGGGCGGAACTGTGACCAGTTCCTCAGCGACATTACCAGTGCTCCGTGGAACCGTGGCAGGCCCACTGCTCCTCTCCAGCCTCACAGTATTTTTTCAAATCCCTCCAGGTTTTCTAATGTGCAGCCAAGACTGGAAACTATAGTTAATATGTAACATACAATAAGTCCAGAGTGACGTGGTGGGTTTTGTCCCCACCATTAACTGCTCTGATGTACAGAAAAATGTACCTGGGAGGGAATCTGCAACAAGAGGCTGTATGATTTCCTTGGTGTTACCTGATCCGAAGGGGAGCATCCAGGAGTGGTGACACAATGTGTCTCCCTTCACCAGCCCTAGGATTTTTGGTTGGGTGAGAATGCCCTTAGTCCAGTCTTTGTACATGGTGTACACCCTAGGCGCATAGAAGGAAAGGGATCTCCAGGTGCCAACCTCTGCAGAGAGGCTCCTGGCACAGGCCCCTTGCAAATGTAGGGGTGACTTCTGCAGGGATGACTCCTCAGAAAAGAAGAGGGGGTAACCAGGTACCATGGCAGAGAACCCCAAGCCTCACCCCCTCTCCCCACCCTCCAGGCCTACTTCAACCCCCCAAATCCATTCTCACCCCTGACAAACTCTCCCATCTCCCTGAACTACCAGCATTCTTGTCTCAATCCCCATGTCCTTCCCTCTGAATGGGCCCAACCCCTAAATTCATTACCTGGACCTGAACCCATTCTCTTGACTCACTTTCTACACCTGGACCTATGCATAGCCCTTGATCTAGCCCTGTCCCACCTCAGTCCCCATATATTTTCCTATTGCATGGCCCCATGTCCAGACTCCCTCTCTGACCTATCTCAACCCTATCCCTCCATCTCCTTTCCCTGTTACAGAGTCCAACAATTTCTCCCTCAGGTGCCTCTCTCTCAGACTTAGAGGAGGGGCCCCACTTACCCTTCATCTTGGCCTTGGCCTTGCAGCTCATGCCGAGCCCAGGGCAGCTCTCTCCTTATGAGGAGCGAGCTCCATGCCAGCAGTTGCTGGCCTCATCACACTGGCCTGCCCCTAGGGCTGAGCCAAGCAGAGAAGTCCGGCCCTCGCGGTGAAAAGACAGTGGTGATGTGGCCCCATCCCTGGCCTCATCTTCTGCCTCCTGGCCCTTCCTTCCTCCTGGCCCATCTCCGCTTCTAGGGAAATCCACTTCTCCCAGCTCAGACTCCAGCACCTGGGTACCAGTGGGGCTGAGGGGCTGTGGGAACCAACTGGGCCATCCCAAACCTCCTAGGAATGGGTAAGAACTGGGGCTAAGTGTCTGGGCTGGTTTGGAAGGCCAGTGTCTGGGCTCCCAATCCAGTCAGAGCTCCCAACTGCTCCCACTAGAGAATGTTTAGTTCCACTGCTGTCCCACCGTGAGCCGTCTCCTATACTATGAGTCTGTCCAAGGTGGGGATTCTGGCCAGGAGCTCCCATCGAAGACTGTGCCCTTCCTCCCCCTTTCAGGGGCTCCCCTGGAAGGTTGGGCATATGTCTCTCGCCTGGCTTATTTGGAGTGGGGAGGGTTTTCCCCCCTCTTCCTCTGAGTCCCCTGGGAGCTTCCTTAGACACTCACTTCTCTGGCACTGGAATTCCTTCTCCTGGGGGATCAAGCCAACTGGCTGTGGTACCAAGACTAGTTCTTTGTTCTCTGTGTACAGTGTGGGTGGAGATAGGCTGGCAGGTGAGACAAGTGGACAGGAAGCAACATGGGGCTGGGGAGGGGGGCCAGTCAGAGTCAGGGGCACAGGACTCAGATTCTGGGAATGAGGGTGGCATAGGGGAAAGAGTACTAGCAATGGAATTCAACAGAACTGGGTGCAAATCTTACCTTATTACATCATTGCTGTGTGTCTTAGGACGTAAGGCTTATTATATCTCTCTGAGCCTGGATTTCTTTACCTGTAAAATGGGGAAATAATACTTTCTTCATAGGATGCTTCAGGATTAAATGAGATGATGTGTGTGAAGAGCCTGGCATAGCACCTTGCACTTTCTAGGTATCTAAACTGGCTTCCTTTTTCCCTTTTGGAGACAGGGTTTGATTTGACACAAGATTACACACAATCATAATGTTCTAAAAATCAAAACCACACTGAGATACCACCTCACGCCAGTCAGAGTGGCTAAAATGAGCAAATAAGAGAACTCTAGATGCTGGCGAGGATGTGGAGAAACGGGCACCCTCCTACACTGCTGGTGAGAATGTAAACTGATACAGCCCCTCTGGAAAACAGTGTGGAGTTTCCTCAGGAAACTAACAATAGAACTCCCCTATGACCCAGCAATAGCACTGCTAGGAATTTACCCAAGGGATACAGAAATGCTGAGGCATAGGAGCACACGTACCCCAATGTTCATAGCGGCACTCTCAACAATAGCTAAAACATGGAAAGAGCCTAAGTGTCCATCAACGGACGAATGGATCAAGAAGATGTGGTTTATCTATACCATGGAATACTACATGGCAATGAGAAACAATGAAATCTGGCCATGTGTAGCAACATGGACGGACCTTGAGAGTGTTATGCTGAGCGAAATAAGTCAGGCAGAGAAGGACAGATATCATATGTTTGCACATATAGGAGGATTAGGAGGAACTTAGCTGAGGAACAAGGGGGAGAAGAAGGGGGGAAATGGTGGGGGAAAGGGAGAGAGGCAAACCATGAGAGACTCTTGAATGCTGACAAAAACTGAGGACTGATGGATATGGGGGGGAGGGGGGATGGGCATGGAGGAGGACACTTGTGGGTATGAGCACTGGGTGTTATGTGGAAACTAATTTAACAATAAACTATTTGTAAAAAAAAAATCAGAACCATAACAAAATAAATAAAATAAAATAAAAAGCTTTGCCACCTTAAAAAAAAATAAAGAAGTTAATACCTATTCTTCTCAAGCTCTTTAAAAAAGATGGAAAAGTAAAGAAATATGAGCTCATATAATTATCTTTAGTAATAATAGCTTAAAATGTAACATTTATAATATTTAATATTTAAATTCTAATACTGAACTATAGGAATTTGTGGGTCAATCCTCAAAAGGATAAAAGAAACAAATCTGCAATAAAATCAGTCATGGTTTAACCCTTTATTAAATATTTTTGATGTTTGAGAAAATAACCTAATGTTAGAGAAAAAAAAAAAACACTGAAAGTAGCAATTCTGGGCAGGGCAGAGGCCTCAGGAGATGGATATAAGCCTTACGAGATGACCTTAAAGTTGGGGGGAAAAAATAAAAAATAAAAAAATAAAAATGGAAGTAATTCTTCCACTACAAGGTCGCTGGATGAACCAAATAAAATAACACGTGGGGGTTACAGTGTGAATGGCTAGGCTTTAAGCACAGATCAAGGACTCTCTCTCTCTACTTTTGTTTTTTGTAATACCTTTATTGAGATATAATTCACATACCATACAGCTCTTCCATTTAAAGGGAGAAATTCAATGGTTTTTAGTGTCTTTTCAGAGTTGTCTACTATCACCACAATCAATTTTAAAACATTATCATCATTCCAGAATGAAATACAGTACTGTGAGCCATGCCTCCCCATTCTCCTCATTGTCCCAGCCCTGGTACCCTAGACATTACATATATCCAGAACAGGTATCATACAGTATGTAGTCTTTTGTGACTGGCTCCTTTTGCTTGCGTAATGTCTTCAGGATTCACTCATGTTGTCACATGTATCCATACTCCATCCTTTTTATGGCTGAACAATTTTCTATTTGACTGAATAATATTTCATTTACATCACATTCGTTTATCCATATATCACCTGATGGCCATTTGAGCTTTTCCTACTTTTTGGCTACTATAAACAATGCTGCTCTAAACATTCTTTTATAAGATTTTATGTGGACATAGATTTCCATTTCTCTTAAGTTTGTATTTTGGTGAAAGGAATTGCTGGGTTATACATTAACTCTATGTTTAACATTTTGAGGAATTGCCAGACTGGTTTACAAAGTGGCTGTACCATTCTACTTTCCCACTAGCAACAAATGAGAGCCCCAATTTCATCCCATCTTTGACAACACTTGTCACTATCTGTTTTTGATTGTAGCCATCTTAGTGGATGTGAAGTGATATCTCATTTTTGGTTTGTATTTCCTGTTGACTAATGATGTTAAACATCTTTTCATGAGCTTAATGAACATTTGTAGATCTTCTTTGAAGAACTATGCATTCAGATCCTTTACCTATTTTTACATTTGGTTATTTGTCTCTTTATTATTGAATTGTAAGCATCTTTTAATATATGGTAGGTACGAGTCTCTTACCACATATATATATACATATATTTCTTTTTTCTTTTTCTTTTTTCTTTTTTTTAATTTTAAATAGTTTATTGTCAAGTTGGTTTCCATATAACACCCAGTGCTCATCCCCACAAGTGCCCTCCTCCATGCCCATCACCCCTCTTCTCCTCCCCACCCCCCACCCCATCTGCCCTCAATTTGTTCTCAGCATTCAAGAGTCTCTCACGGTTTGCCTCTCTCCTTCTCCCCAACTATTTTCCCCCTTCTTCTCCCTCATAGTCCTCCGTTAAGTTCCTCCTAATCCTCCTATACATGCAAACATATGGTATCTGTCCTTCTCTGCCTGACTTATTTCGCTCAGCATAACACCCTCAAGGTCCGTCCATGTTGCTACACATGGCCAGATTTCATTGTTTCTCATTGCCATGTAGTAGTCCATGGTATAGATAAACCACATCTTCTTGATCCATTCGTCCGTTGATGGACACTTAGGCTCTTTCTATGTTTTAGCTATTGTTGAGAGTGCCACTATGAACATTGGGGTACGTGTGCTCCTATGCCTCAGCATTTCTGTATCCCTTGGGTAAATTCCTAGCAGTGCTATTGCTGGGTCATAGGGGAGTTCTATTGTTAATTTTTTGAGGAATCTCCACACTGTTTCCCAGAGGGGCTGCACCAGTTTACATTCCCACCAACAATATACACATATATTTATAAATATTTTCTCCCATTCTGTAGATTTTCACTTCCTTGATGATGTTTTTTGAAGCATAGAATTTTAAATTTTTGATGAGGTTTATATCATTTATTTTTTCCTTTTATTGCTTATACTTTGAGTATCATATCTAAAGTCCTATTGCCAAATCCAAGGTTATGAAGATTTACTCCAATGTTTTCTCCAAGTGGTTTTATATTTTAAACTCTTATATTTTGATCATTAATCCATTTTGAGTTAATTTTTGTATATGAAGTGAGGTAAGGATTCAAATTTATTCTTTTGCATGAGGCTATCCAGTTGTCCCAGTACTATTTGTTGGAAAGACTATTCTTTCCCCAGTGAATGATTTAGGCACTCTTGTGAAAAATCAGTTGACCATGTCCATGTGGTTTTATTTCTGGATTCTCATACTGTCTTAATGACCATTTTGTAGTAGGTTTTGAAATTGGGAAGTATGTTTTCCTACCTTGTTTTCCTTTTCGTTTTTTCTTTAAGTTTATTATTTTGAGAGAGAGAGAGTGCATACATGCAGGCAGGGGAGGGGCAGAGAGAGGGAAAGATAGGAAGAGAAAATCCCAAGCAGGCTCCATGCTCCCAGCACAGAGCCTGACATGGTGCTCAAACCCATGAACCATGAGATAATGACCAGAGCCAAACTCAAGAGTCAGACACTAAACCAAGACTCCCAGGTGCCCCCCTACCTTGTTTTTCTTTTTCAAAATTGGTTTGCTATTCCAAGTCCCTTGAATTTCCATATGAATTTTAGAATCAGCTTGTCAATTTCTACAAAGAAGTCAGCTGGGATTCTGGGAGGGATTGCATTGAATCTGTAGATCACTTTGAGAAGTATTACCATTTTAATATTATCTTCTGGTCCATAAATGTAGGATGTTTTCCCACTTATTTAGATAGTCTTTAATTATTTCAACAAGGTTTTGAAGTTTTCAGAGTATGATTTTTGTGCTTTTCTTT